CCAGATGTTAGCCCTAGCCTGTGTGGTTTGCTCCCTCTCTTCCTGGTGCTGCAGGGATAAAGAAGGCTTTATGTATGCTGCATGTCTCCTTTCCAGGATCCCTTGTGTGCATGCTGGTGGATGGTTAAGATTTGTGGCCAAAAAATGAACACCCAGAACTCCCACTCTGGCTCTGACCATGCACTGGAGAAGGGTAACCACCCCTCTCCTTTTCCCAGAGGTGTGCAACACTTTGCATGTGTGTGGCACTTCATCAAAGCAAGCCCAATACTTGGGGATCGTACAGGATTCATCCCTACCCTGGGACAGGGGCAGCTGTAAGAAGAAATGTGTGGTTCTCCTTTGCAAAGGCTGGTGGACATCGCTGTGACCTTAGCAAGGTCACAACAGTGGGGGTTTGGGCACTGTCGCCTCTCTTAAGCTACTCAGTTTCTGCCTGGGCTTTCTCATATACTCTGTGATGGCTTCCTAGGGTTGCACTTACCTGCATATTTAAATCTGCACATTATTTCAGCTGGTGCAAATAAAAATCTTTACTTTTGTGCAGGTGAGTTGATTACCATTGTGCGTACTAGGTTAACTGTAATGGTTGTGATTAATCACATGAGTCCAGGCCTAATGTCTACAGAGCTTTTGAACTAAATCAGCTTAAAATCTTAGGACGTGTTGTTTAAGTTAAACCAACGCAGCTTTCTGATGTAAACAAGCCATTACAGCTGCTTTGCAGTGATCACAGTGTCCTGTAAGTTATACTCTGAGGGTAAAAGTTAAGTGATACAGGTGGTCTGTGTTTTGGAAAGATGGTCTTGAGATGCACAAATGTTGTGGGGTGACTAGAGCTTCCTGGAAGAACCACAGCTCAGAAATTCAGCTCTTCTAATGTGCATTTTCTTTGCAAAGATGAGAAGCAGAAGGTGGTTGGTAACATCTTGTTTGAGGGGATGGGGGGACAGTTCAACTTAAAATGCTCAGCTAACTTGCTTTCAAATACTGCAGACTGTTTTTCAGAGACTCTTCCTAATAATCTTGTAGTGTGCATGTATTCAGTCTGTTTATCTGTGATAATGTTTTTCCATTTGTGTAGAGTTTTATCACAGGAGTTCCCAAAATGCCAAGCATGTGTTTAACGCAAATGATTTGACTGAAACTCCAGTCATCTCTGGGGCAGGTTTGTGTACCCATAGTACTTTGTCGTACAAGAAGGAAGGAAGATTAAGAGGTTTAAGCAAGATGAATTTCTCCTAATTTCACATGGCCACCAATTAAAGCAATGGCAATGCTTTCTCCCATACCCACAGACCCTTGTCTCTGTGCAAAAGGTGGTGTTTGTCATAACAGCTACAAGGAAACCTTTAATTAGTTTATTTGTGCTCTAAATGCAAACTGAGACCTAATAATTCTGCCAATTCCCAACCTTAGGGGAGCCCACACATGCATCTGTCAGTCTCATTTCACATGTATCCAAACATAGGAAAATTTAACTTGCTGCTGAGGCAGTCCAGTTGAACAGAGGAAATGCTTTGAGTCAGGCTGGCTTGCTGCCTACTGAATTTTGTGAACTTCTTGTAGGTTATTACCTGCAGGATAGCAACAAATAATTCAGATGACAGTGCAAACCATTGCTGTCTCTGGCCAAAACCAATCTCTAGAATTTGGCCATGATAAGGAGGTATAAAGAAATAAGGAGAATGTTGTAACATCAGGCTGCAACTGCAGCATCCCTTTTTTTCCTCCAGTTATTGTGCTTCACACCCCACATTCAGAATGGCTAATGGATCCTGGTCTTCCTGGCCATGTGTATCTTCTTTCTTTGGTAGATGCAAAGTGCAGAGCCATATGGCTGTATCCGCACTGTGCTGCGGGCGGGGGAGTAATCCTCTGGCACTTATCCTGCCTGTGCAAATAGCTTGCAGTCATCTCTCTCTGCAGTTCTCCGTGACTGCAGTGTGACTCCCGTTGGGAGCAGCAGCCCTGATTAGGGTAGCTAGCCCTGTGCTTACAACATTCCCTGGCCAACACTGAGCATCCACATTCTGTTTTGTACAGCCAGTCTGAGTGCTGCTGCTGCTTCGCTACCTCTCCTTGGCCTCATGGCTCTACAGATTAACTTGCAGCCAACATGCTAATTTTACATAACATACTCTGTTGCTGAGAGTGAGTTTTGCCTGATTATTTTTTCTTATAGATGAGGGGAGATATCTTATGAGCTGCATAAGCCTCTCGGGATCAGACTGAGGACTTTGAATGTAGTATTTCACAAACTACTTTCCTATTCTGATGTGTGCTGGCTCTTCCATCTCTTCCCCCCCTCCAAGTCTGGAAAGCTAGAGAGAGAAGCCCTTTTCCCCTCTTGGCCAGGATGCTGTTTAGCCATCGCACATACTTCCAGATTGCTAACATATGGGCAGAGGGCTCAGCCAAAGTTTTGAGAGGCTCAGCCCTTGGCAGCTTGTTCCACGCTTTCCTGTCCCTACATTCAGGAAATGAAGTCAGAGTGTTGATATAAAACAGGCCGAGTTGAAAACCGAGACGCTGGAAAGACTGAAGGGGGGAGGCGTGGGGAGATGGAGAGTGGCAGGGGCTCGTTGCAGTGTGCTTTGTCCTGCTGCATGCATGGGTTGGGGGTTTCTTGCCTTGCGCCGGTGTCTTCCATGTGATTACTCTTGCTACCTCAGAGTCAGAGGACTGATGTTTTACGCTGGTGGACAGATATACGTGTCTTTCCTCTAGCATATGGAAAAATCAGCATGCAGAGATAGTGTTGTCTTGATCACGCGGCAGCATTTATGCAAGAGCTTGGAGGGGGTGAAAGTAGAAGCTCTGGCAAAGAGCATGTATTTCCGTTTCTGGGACACGGGATTCCCTTACCTTTTGACTTTTTTTCCTGAAGAATTACTCTGTTGCTAAATTTCTATGGAATGATGTGTTCTAATGCAGGATGATTTTTCTCAGACAACTTTAACATCAGTTATTTTTTCACCAGCCCAGAGACTATGTGAGGTGGATGCAGGGAGTTCCAGTTAAGTGAGACGGCGGTGGGGATGGTCTCTCTTGCCTTGGGACTTGAGCAGTTGGGGTACTTCCCTTCTAGGTCACTAGTTCAACCTAAACCATCATAATAACCCAAAGTAATAGAAAGCTAGAAGCTGTTTGTGGCTTACAGAACCTGAAGGTGGTCTATGTGGCTCTGAGTCTAGTACCTAGCTGAATTATGTCCCATCACAAAAATGCTTGCCCACCTCTAATCTAGACTGATCAATAGTATTAAAAATCCAAGGAAATTTGCTCTGAAGAGCTCTCCTGCTTTCATAGCCTGGCATCTTTGAGAGAGAATGGAGAGTTTGGCAGCTACCCAAGTGATCCCTTCTATTTTCTAGATGTTGACTTCTGGGATATTCTTGTTGCATGAATTTTGTAATGGACTGGTATAGCTTGATCTTCAGGGTATGTATGAACTCTGGATTTTCTGGTATCCTTAGCAAACTTAAGTCAATTTAGATGAAACTTAAGAGGATGTTAGGCTGGACTTGTTATCCCCTGGGTGTTTGAGCTCAGCAGCTTTGTCATCCTTATCTGCTGCTCTGCCCTGCCCCTCTTTTCTAGCTAGCTCTTCAGGATCTTTGCTCACTGACCATAGTTATTTTCCATTTTTGTTTCCCCTGACAGCAATCATGTTTTGTTGTTTCCAGCCAAGAAAGCTCTACAAACACCAGGATGCTCACAAGGGGACAGTCACACATGCATGCTTGCACACAAAAGTATGCCTTGTATTTCAGTCTCGGAGAGCTGCAGTCTGCCTTTTGGAGACCAGTGTGATGGCTCCCTCTTTTGTTATGTTGGGGTATAATACCCAGCTGGAACAGGATGTTCCAAATGGGGACTTTTAAACCAAACTCACTTCTGTTAATTTGCTGTAGATTCAGATTTGAGACTATGCAAGGAGAATGATTTCTGACTTAGTTTCTGAACGTAAAAACTAAGATCAAGTTTGGTAAAAGATTATACCTAGGGTAAAAAATATTGAGGCTGGTTTTTGGATGCCTTGTTCTGTGTTTGGCTGGAGATGTCTCATAAGAACCACACTGAAGGGTTGTGGGTGCAGTTGCACTGAAAAATGGGTCCGTTAAAGCTCTCGGAGTCTGGTCACTGGCTTTAACATTTACCAAGCACTAAAATGCCTATGTTGCTTGAGATTCTAGTCATTCAGAGCATGAGATTTTCATTAATGAGCGTAGTTACTTGATTATTTTTTTCAACACAGGAGGCCTTCAGGTAACCTTACAGTAACCCGTATTATTGTTACCAGACCTGCTCTTTGATATTCTGATGCATATGTATTATTGCTTAATTAATGCATTAAAAGGAGTGTAGGACAGTGATAGGATGAAGTGGGAAAGTCAGCTTTTCTGAAGAGGTGAATTTAAGTTGATACAGTCCATAACTTGTGTCAAACCAGCTTCTCTATCACATGCCTGGCTCTTGAACATGGATATAGGCTTGTAGTGATTAAAAGTAAAACACTGAGATGGTGACAGTGGGGCTGAGGGCTGCTTACCCCCTTACTGACTAGTGGCAGTGCTTCCCACACACACACTAAAGCTGTCCTGAGAACAGAGGTATGAGGAGCCTTTCCCAGGCAGACCTGCTCTGGGTGTCAAGTGACTGGTGAACGTCTTGGTGCTGATTGACCCCTTGCTGGGAAGAGTGAGGACCTTAATGTTGATCACAACCTGGGGAATTGGGACAGTGCCATGCTGCTGCCTGTTCCTGGAGGAGTTAATGGGGCAGGGCTGTTGGGCCGTGTCACAAAAACAGTCAGGAAGGGCAAACTTTTGTTTCTAGAGGTCCCCTTTTCTCACAGACTTAAGAGACCAGAGAACCTGGGTTAAGAATGCCTCCCTGGTGATGTGGACGCTATATTGCTGATAGACTCCTCCGTGCTGGTAGAGGTAGAGGCTTTGTTGGAGCAGTGAGTGACTTGTTACTGATCCCTTTTTCAGGAGAAGGAGAAGAAGTATATGTTACCGGTGGATAACCTGAAACTCCGAGATGTTGAGAAGGGGTTCATGTCCAGCAAGCACATCTTTGCTCTCTTCAATACTGAACAGAGGTATGCTCATGTCTCAGCACGCCAAGCTGTTGAAGCTAGGGGCAGGATTTATGTAATATGAGATAGGAGGGGGTAGAGATGAGTATGGTGAGATATGCACATCCTTCCTGGACAGCTATCCTTTAAGGATAGCCGTTTTTGGAGGAGACAGGGGACTTCTTTTAAAAGAAGTCTGACTTCATTCCTTCTAGTCTTACAGATGTGTACCATTTTCTTTCTTCACCAGTGGATGGCTTGCAGTGTGACCTTAGCCATCAGCTATTTGGTGTGGTTAACAGGGCTGGCAGTGGCTGGAGTATATGTTTATAATCAACGTTCTTAGTGAGTGACTAGGGAAAGCCATAGGAGATAGGGGACCCAGGTTGGGTGGAGAAGTCCTAGCAGTGAGCAGAATTGAAAAGGGGACCTTTTTCAGGCCCTGTTGAAACACACAACTGATTTGAGGGCAATCAAACTTGCTCATTAAAAAAAAAATTCATTTCCTTTCCCTTCTGCAGGGTCGTCATGAGGATACAAGCAAAGGACTAAGCGTCTCTGTCTTAAAATGATAGGATGATTCCCTGATCATTGGCAAACTTGTCAAATACGGGCAAATCTCTGATTTGCAGTAGAGAAGAATAAAATGTTTGTCTTCCTCTCAGGAATGTTTACAAGGACTACCGGCAGCTGGAGCTGGCCTGTGAGACCCAGGAGGAGGTGGATAGCTGGAAGGCTTCCTTCCTGCGTGCAGGAGTCTACCCAGAGCGTGTTGGGGTAAGTTACAGCCATAATAATGGGCTGAGAAGTAACACAGCGTGTATCTTAAGAAGGATAGCTGTTAAAAATTAAGTCCATGAAGGTTTTGTCGCTTTCCTGAGCTGAGGATATTTTGCAACAAAAATTTAAGTTTTTGATATGTCCTGGTGCTTCCTTTAAGGAAGCTTGGGATAAAGTAACTGGCAGCTTCAAAGGGGAGATAAAGTAGGCGAAGACTGCCTTGATAAAACCTTCAGCTCTCTTGTTTTGTGGGCATTAAACTCTCAAAGTAAGGAGGACATTTAACAACCTGACCACGAAGTGGTATGTGTCTGCTGAGGGAAGGCACCATTCCTTTTCAGTAACACAGCCTTGTTAGGAGCTTCCTGGCTTACTAGTAGCTGTTCTCCTATTCCTTTTCCCACCCAATCAGGAAGGGATGTTCTGTGAATTTTTATTTTGCTTGGTAATACCTTAATATGCTACTTTAGCAAGACCTCTTATCTCTTCCCTTAGCCTTGTCCCACAACACTTGCTGTCAGCATTATGCTCTGCTTAAAGTATGTTCGAGAAAACTGTGGTGTATGTTCCTGTTCAAAGCCTTCCTGTTACCCTGTGAGAGGAAGCTGCTATAAATAGTTTTCCCATTAGAAAAGTGATAATTGCTTATCTGTTTGTATTTGTTGCTTCTAATAGACTTCTTGCATTAATCTTTCCTGTTACACTTGAAGATTGTGGGGTTTTGCCTTAAAGCATTTCCTGACAAACTGTGATATTAAAAAAGAGAGAATTGGGGACTGGACCTTAACAGTGACACGACTTCAAATTGGCTTTGAACCAGACTGGGCCTGTTTAAACACATACTGGTAAAGGACACGTGCCATCTATTGGTGTGCAAATGGGTGGTTTGACACAGGAACACTGATGGCTAGGCTGTGAGTGTCTCAAAACCCTGTGTAACAAATAACATGTAGCCGTTGTAGGGAAGTAAATAGTCCTTTGTTGCTAACAATATAATTTCCTTTGCAGAGTGTCCCACTTTGATTTTCAGTTTAGCTATACAATTCACTTGTTCCTCTTCCAGGGTAATCTAGGTATTTATGTATTTTTAGTGGGATTGGTCTTTTGCTTGTTCAGCGCTATTATGGGATCTTCTCCAAATTGAGACCAACTAAAAGTCATCTTTTATTTTTTATCCCTTTTTGTTTTAATTTTTTCCACGTATGCTCAAACTGGCCCGCCAGGACAAGGACAAAGTAAGTCTGACCCTCTCTGCCTGTGTTGCCCCCTGGGGCTCTCATCGGATAGTTCTCTCTTGTTTTTTTCCTTTTGTCACAGTTTCCTGAGAGGCATTTGCTTCTTCTCCCTCTTCATACCTTCTGTTGGATTGCTGCTGTTTGTTTCTGTTCTTGGTTCGAGTTATCCTTTTTTTCTTCTTATTTCTCCCTTTTTGTCTGATTTCTGAATCTTGGTGCAAACTTATTTTTGGGTTTTTTGACTGTCTTTTTTTTAAGTTGTCCTGTTTGACATCCATTTCCTTTACTTTGTTTCTTACTGAGACCTTGCATTCCTTATGTAAAATCTTCCCAGGAAAGGCTCAAATGAACAAAAGAATTTGCCCTTTCTTATATATTGCTCCCCAAAACAAAAGATAAGCAATTTCCTACACTGCTGCAAGTCCTTCAGACTGGGATGGTTTAAAATAAAGATTTTTCTTTATAAGATCAAAGTGGGTTTTTTAAAATAAGCATTGAAAAAGACAGCAGTCTTTTATGCTTTGCTGGTTTGAAATTGATCCCAAATGGATGAGCCTTGGTGATTGCTTGCTGTCAAACAGCACAGTCCAGGTTTTACCTTATAGAAGGCTAAAGAATGCATTTCAGGCAGACAGGAAGAGATTCATCTGCTTGGTGTGAAAGGAGATAATTATGACTTACAATGTGGGATTTGCAGTTAGTCATCAGGAAGGTTTTCTAGGTTATTCCATCTACTTGTGGTCTGACTGAGGTGAGCAGTCACTTCACCTCTTGGTATCTGTTTTCTCATTTGTATAATGAGGATAAAGGTGCAGTGTGTTGGAGAGCCTGTAAGGCTTAATCTATGGTGAGTGATTCCCAGGTCTAAACTGTATCTGAGCATGGAAAACCCAGCTCAGATGAAGAACCTTCCAGGAAGCTATAAACATTAAAAGTAAAAATACAGCTTTGAGTATTTGTTAGAGCCGTAACCTGTGAATGTTGGTCAGGAGTCCCTGTTGTCTTTTGCCTTTGTATAATAACTTTCTACTAAGACAGCAGCTTTTACTGTTAAAGCTCCTCAGATCTGAGCTGGAGAAGTCTGTACAAGCTGAGCTGTGTATTGACAATCACAGCTCAAAATGTGAGTTTAAATAAGTTTTATTGCATGCACTTCCTGCGTCTTTCCTTTTTTCTAAGCACTATCATGAAAAGCTAATTTTGCATTACATTTGAAGACCCAATCTGTTTCTTCTTTTCTGTGCAGGCCAGTGAGGCGGAGGAGAATGGATCAGACAGTTTCATGCACTCCATGGACCCTCAGCTGGAGAGACAAGTGGAAACGATCAGGAACCTGGTGGATTCCTACATGGCAATTGTCAACAAAACCATCAGAGACCTCATGCCGAAGACAATCATGCACCTCATGATAAACAATGTACTTATCACACTGTGGTCAATGGAGGCAGGGAGACAGAAGGGGAAAAATAGGGAGGGAGAGAAAGAATGGAGAAAAACTGAAGGCAGCTTGGAAGGAGGAAGAGGTGGCAACAGAATGGAGTGTTCTGGGGAAGATGGTGGAAACTGATTCCCTCTTTGTGCTCATTTACAGACCAAGGACTTTATCCATTCGGAGTTGCTGGCAAACCTGTACTCCTGTGGTGACCAAAATACGCTGATGGAGGAATCAGCAGAGCAGGCCCAGCGACGTGACGAAATGCTGCGCATGTACCACGCCCTGAAAGAGGCCCTCAACATCATTGGGGACATCAACACCAGCACTATCAGCACCCCTATGCCCCCACCGGTGGACGACTCTTGGCTGCAGGTGCAGAGCGTACCATCTGGACGCAGGTACCAGAGGCTCAGGGGGAGAGCCTCACAGACCTGCCTGATGCCTCTTTAGTGGCTAGCTGGGGCCTCCTACTGAGACAGGGGAGTCCTTCTCTTCCCCTCTTCTCCCTGTGGATGAAGAGTTCTGGGTGTTTGTGTTGGGAGGCTCATAGACCTTGAAAGCTATGTAGGGCTGCTGCATCTTTAGAAAGGATGTGGAGGCTTCTAAACCCTTAGGTTGTTAGATGGGGCCTGAAGTAGCTTTGAAGGCAACCTGAAGCCTGGTGTGACCCTTGAAAGCCAAAGGGTGGTGTGTAAGGTGACACGAGACTAGAGAAGGAACACTGAAGGCAGCATACGGGGACCTGATGGTGACACAGAGGGATCTCAGGCCTGTTGTTGCAGTTGAATTCTTCCGTTTGTTTGCCAGGTCTCCTACGTCCAGCCCCACGCCACAGAGGAGAGCTCCCGCTGTTCCACCCGCCAGACCTGGGTCTCGAGGTCCAGCTCCTGGACCACCTCCTGCTGGTGGGTCCACGCTGGGTGGTGCCCCCCCTGTGCCCTCCAGGCCAGGTGCCTCTCCTGATCCCTTTGGGCCCCCACCTCAGGTTCCTTCTCGGCCTAATCGTGCTCCTCCTGGTGTTCCCAGGTAAGTCCTGAAATGCTGCTCTGCGCAGGTGGGATGTGCCCAATTTTTGGGTAGCAGCCTTGACAGCACTCAGCCTGCCTGGGCCATAGAAGGAGAATGGAGTGCATGGTGTGGGTACAGTCTTTGGATATTTGAATTGGGTCTGTAGGCAGGAGCATTGTTGTCCACTGAGACCTCATTGTACAGATGAGGCAATGCCAAGGCACCTCTCGGGAACAGAGGGGTAGCCTCTTCTCTGCACAAACCTCTGTGCAAAGGATGGGGGAAGAGGACCTTGTACCCCAGGGCTTTATTAGAGCAATCATACCAACACCTCTACTCATAAGTAGGTGATCACCAGAAAAATCACAGGACTGGGGTGACAGTTTCCCCTTTGCGTAGGGCTCCCCAAAGTCTGAAGTTGCCCCCTTCTCCTGGCCCTGAGTTCTTCAAGGTGAGTTGGAGAGACCTTCATCTAAGCTGTTCAGATGCTTTTTGGCTAGGAGAATATTGCAATATCACTGGCAGGGAAATAGATTTTTTTTTTAGGCATTTTTGTTGCTTCTGTAATCAATTTGAACATTTTCTAGTCTAGAGGGTTCAGATCACACAGCTTTGCTTTGCCATTAGGAAACTTAATTCCTTTCCTGTTCAGTCACTTCAAACACACTTCAACATAGTAATAAGGGATTATCCCCTGTGCAGCTAAGCACGTGTTCCTGCACAGGACTTAGGAAGCAGTCTGGAACTGGGAGTGCTTTTATGTTGAGTACTTGGTCTCCCTGTGAGGAAGAGAAGGTAATTGCAGAGTAAAGAATGAACATAACCAGAAACTCCCCAGTGACGTGCCAGAGGGAATGCTTCCCTCATAGAAAATACCTCTTCTCCAGTGGGTGCTGGTGGCATGTGCCTGAAGCTTTGCCACTTTCTGTGGAAACACCCAGCCTGCCAATGGGTGGTGATGGTGTATGGCAGAGGCAGTTCAGTCTTCCTCCTCTGATAGTGCCCCAGCGCATACTTGGTGCTGCCTGTTTGAAGGAGGAAGAGTTCTCTGCTAGGCTGTATCAAGCCCAGAGATGGATGAGTCCAAAGAGATTATAGACAGGTTTCTGAGTCTGGTGTGTTCAAATGGTTTTACTTTCTTGGTGCCTCTGCCCCAGCCCTCCCTATGCACCTTGATGCAGCTCCCACAGTAACTTGTCCACACGTGCCTCAGCATTGCCCCAGGGACTGCAGTCCTGCTGGTGGCACCTATGGATGTCAGCATGCTTCTACTGTGTATTTTGGCTCTTGCTTCTTGTGACCCTGCTTTTCCACATACTGTTACTTTGTGGTTTTCTTTTTAGTATACTTATGCTTCTTTCTGTCTCCATCTTTCTTCTTTCACTCAGTTTCATTTCTTCACTCATGAAAAAATATTCTATATACCTGATCATCGTGATGGGATTCTCCAAATGGGCTGAAATGAATTGGCCTTTTTTGAAGAAATCTGTTGTAGCCTATTCTAATGGCTTTTCTGCCTTTTGCATGAGGTAGAAGGGTTTAGGGGAAGGTAAGGAACAGCACTGGAGCAGAGGAAGAAAGTGTTTCATACTTAACTGAGCAATCCCTTGCTTTAGAAAGAGAGATGGTAGGTTGGATTGCATGCTACTGACTGCCCTGATCTGGAGTTGAGAATGTAATTCCAGAAGCTGTGAAGTGATGCTCATTCTCTGATCCCCTCTCTGATTCTTCCAGTTGTTCATAGACTCCTCCGGATCCTGATACCAGCTTGTGATTTGAGTTCACTGATGAATGGAGAATTTCCAATGACAAGGGACTCTTTCTCTTCCTCTCCTGTATATAGAATAAGAATGTTCCCTGCTAGCACTTGGACTCGGGTCCTTCTGCCATGGGTGAACGAATGCCATCTCCATTGTTGCTTTTTTAATATCCATCTTTTCCCTTGCTAACCAAGCTACACTATTGTGTATGTGCGTGAGGAACAAAGCTCTTGCATATGGCATGAGTGGGCTTTGCTGTAGGAGTTGGTGTTATGTAGTGAACTGGAAGTGCATGGTGGCGGCTGGACGTACTTTGCGTGTGTATGCACGCTGATGCCTGTGTAGAAGTTTGGTAGTTTGTGCCTCCAGTTTGTGTGAGCATCTGGTTTTATGGATGATGAATGTAAATATGAGTGTTGATCCACTTTTTTATAAACATAATTGTATAGACACATGCTTTCACGTATGAACACCACATGGTCCATTTTCTAGCACAGGAAGGCTTTCCTGCGTGTCATTACACTTAAAACAAGATTTACCATCTTGCTTCTGTACTTAGCATTTATTGAGTCTACTATGGAAGTCTGCATTGCCAAATACGTACTTTTGGGAGCTGAAAGTTACAATATAAGGTCCTACCTGTGTGCAATGAAGGATTGCCTTTGGACTCTATACCTACTGGCTATGCAGGAGGATTTGCTCTGGGAAAGAAAACTATGAAGATATTCCTCCAGGTATTTAGTATCTTCAATTTAAAATAGTCTGGTAAACTGTAGATGAAAGACCTTAGGGAAGCTCAAAGGAGAAATAAGAAAGTTTAAGTGAGAATGACTTAACCAGTGGAAGAATCTGAAGGCATTAATGGGTTCTCTGTTCTTTGGTACATGTAAGGAAAAAGATGCAAGTGATCAGCATCACTGTAAGCATGACTTCACACAGCTTTATGACTTTATTCAGGAAGTCAGAGTAGCTGATACCATGATTTGTGACCTTCAAAATATGTCTTCACCTGCTTCTTCCCTTTTTGGGTAGCACTCAGGACTGCAATCGTTCCTGAGCTGTTGGTTTCCACTCTAGCATTGGTTGGAAGATAGGAGTTCTCAGTGAGAGACAAATCCAGCCCTCTGTGCCCAGCCAGCGGGTGCTGAGACCTAGTGATACTGCTGGTTCGGCAGGAATGAACGTCAGTCTGAAAGCGGACTTGCTGGGTGGGTGAGTGGGCAATGGCTGGTAGGTGTGTGAATAGATGGATGGCTTTCAACGTGCTCCTGTGCACAAGAGGGTTCTGGATGCGTGTGAAGTTGAAGCTGTGATTGTGTGTGCAAAGTGCTGCATGGGTGAGTGCAACCCTACCCAGAAGTGCACACTCGTGCTGTGTTCTGGACGGGGACGTACGAATGTGTGTCTGTGCAAGTGCATGTCTCTGGTCCACCTTCCTGACAGTCTGTGTGGCCTCTGCCTTGAACTGTCTGAACTGCTATGTTGATTTCATGTTGTCTTTCAGAATCACTATCAGTGACCCCTGAGGACTGGCAGCCACGGTACGTTTTGCACTCTCCCTGCAATGCATGAGTCACTGTGTCCCCATACTCCATTACTTTGCTCTGCGGCTCACCTCTGCTGCCTAGTTCTTGTATTAGTAACAGAGTCCCTTGTCCAATGAAACCACCTCTGCCAGGATCTCATAAAGGGAGGAGTCTTGAACAGAAAAACTGGCTGATCAGAGACAGAGCAGCTGCTTGAGCTGCAGGAGCTGGGAAAGCCTCTGTACCTGACTTACGGCTATTAGAGGACTATTTCTCTGCTTCCAGATAGAGGAGGTGGGATGGGGGAATGAGCTTTGGCAACAAGGTCTAAACTCTGTGTGTCTTTAGTTTGGCTTATATCCACACTGACTGGGAGATCAGCTGAATGAACTCTGTTTTGATTTGGTTTGTTGGCTCTGTTAGGATCAAGATAGAGGCGTGGGGAGCTGTTAGTTCAGACTCCTCTTCTTATATTCTAATGTCTGGCTGGAGAAGTGCTCCCATCCTCACTGTGTCCCTAGTGTTCATAGAAGGCAGGAGGAGTTTGGGTCATTAATATCAGGACTTCCATGTCTGAGTGCAGGGTAACTCTGACATTGAATGTTCCCTGTTTATCCTTGTGTCCCATCATCACAGTTAAAAGTGAACTCCCTTTGCTTGTTCTCCACTTGACCCTTTACCTTCCAGGTTACTCTTCTGCTTCTATTCAAACTGCCTTCTCTCCTTTGCCTTCTGCCCCTGCAAGAGGAAGGGTTTAGTGATCTGTATTCCCCACCACTCTGCCCTGAGCTCCTGCCTGTTTCCCTTTCCTATCTCTCCCTGCACTTTGCAGCATTGTACTTGTTTGGTGATGTGGCAGGGTACTGGGGCAGGCTCATGTGCTGCGCTGACCCAAGAACTCTTCCTTGTCCTGTTAATGCTGAGAGTGGGGGTGTGAAGAGGGAGATCTAGCAAATTCTCCTGATTTTTTTTTTTTTTTTTTTTAATCTGGGAACTTCCAGCCCTTATTGCCAAAGGGGTAGAGAGAGCAGAACAGGGCAGGTGTGGCTTTTTTGGGCCCCTTCTCCCGTTCTCTGCGGACGTTTCTTGAAGTGAAAGGTCTGACAGAGGAGTGGAGCAGCAGCAGCCTCTGTAGATTTCCTTGCCACTGGTTGTGGCGGAGAGAACTGAGGGTGGGGAGTGTGTGCTGAAGTCCTATCTTAATAGGAATAGTGGAAGTTCAACCCCCTGTTCCAGGGCAGGGGGGTTCACAGCCCCCATCTCGCAGCAGATGGTGTTTGTTACTGCTGCATATAACTGTGGTTAGGGCTGAGAAGTGCCACGTCATGTTAAACCGATGTGGTGATTGTTCAGTGATTGACATCATCTTTGAGGACGTCATCTGTCAGCCTGCCTCACTGATGACATACTGCAGAGGTGTTGGAGCAGACAGTTTCCTCCAATACTCTGCCTACTGCAGACATCCTTGGCAGCCCGAGAAATGTGCATCTTGGTGAACAACCTCAGGAAGGAGGCTTGCTGTTGTCTGTGCCTTGTTCTGGGACTCGCTGTTATGGGGCGTTCTGTTCTTAATTTGGCACAAAGAGCACCAAGGAAATAAAAATTAAAAATCAGAACACCACCAAAAAAGCCTAAAAATCCCACCCAAAACCTTTTGCAGCCCAAGGGAATAAATGTAATGTTTTACCATCTCAGGTCCTTAGCAGCAGAACTCTCTGTTAGCCTGTTGGTTCTTAGATACGTTTAGTTCAGTGTTCTGTCTGGGTATGGCTTGAAAGCCTGACTTCAAGGGGCATGACAGTCACTGTAACTGGTTTCCTCAGGCTCCTGCCAGGACTCAGGGCTTACTTCCCATGTACTAGAGACTGCCACAGGTTTCCCCAGCAGCAAAACTTCATTCCTTGTTGTCCTGACAGAGGAAAGTGACTTTCAGTAATATAAAAGGGCTTGGCTAGCAACGTAGTGAGACAGACTGAAGCAGCATTCCAGGGGTAAATGTTGCCTGAGAGACTTCTCTGTCCTTTTTTGTGCTGGGAAAGTTTTCAGCTTTTTGTAACCTTATCAGGCAGGTTCAGCAAGGGTCTGTAGAAAACCTGAGCAGAGACAAAACCTGTAACTTTAAAAGGTGGTGACAGCCTCTACCCTAAAATGCTCTGAGTGCTGAGAGAAATAAGAGTCTGCAAAAATCACAGTATACTACAAAAAAAGCAGCCCATCTACCTGAAAACATTGTGCTCCTTTCAGCCCTATTTATTCTGGTAGGGTCGAGTGGCCTCTCTTGCCAGAACACATTACATAGTCCAGTGACTTCAAGCATCCTTTTCATGTAAATCCACAGAGTCTGTTAGGACAACCTGTCCAAACTCCTGAAATGCAAAAAGCCCTTCAAGCTTCTCAAAAATTGCCTTAACACATGTGACAGTGCAACAGCATCTCAATAAAGGTTGAGCTTAAGTTTTGTAAAGGCTTTAATTCAAGTGCTGTTACTGTTCCAATGACAGTAGTAGCCATCGAATGGTTGGTATGACTGCATTTACACCATGAGCACCCTTAAAGATAATGCACAGGTTGCATGTGTCACAAAGCTGAGGTTCACAGAGTCCTCAGCTGTAACATCTAATTGCAAGTTTTGCTTCTGGGAGTTAATATTACTTCAGCATCCTTCCAAAGGTGGTTGTAATTTCCAGGTTAGCTCAATCCTACCATTACTTGCTGTACAGGAGCAGTAACTTCGCAGGCATGATGACAATGGGGTCCTGCACTCCCTATTGACGCTTTCAGTCAAGGAAATAACATTTGGAAATGTTCTAGTGTCTGAAGCTTTTTTAATGTATCATTTCCCAAGGCAAGGAACAAGTGGTTGTAATTGTTTTGAGATCTGAGCTTAATAGATATGGAGTAATAAATTCTGCTGAGATCTAATGAATAAGAGCGTAGAGTTGCTCTGGTTCATTTGCTAAGATGAGGGAGCTTGCCCCAACTGATAGGAGTATAGCTCCTCTGGTACCACCATGATTATAGGCTGGTGGTCAGTGCAAAATGAAGACTTCCCTGCCTCAGAAGACTGTACTGGTGCAAATATCCTCCTCTGCCTTTCTTCCCTTCCTCCCCTCAGCCGCTGTGCTGGGGGAGGGCCTTCATTTCCAGCAGTCAGGTGGTTCTCTAAAGCTTGTCAGTGTGGAATTGTTCAGGCACTAATTCTGTGACACCTGGTTCTGTATGATCAGTGTAAATGTTTCCTCTCTACTTGGTCTGCATCCTGTTGGGTTTGCTCTTTGCATTTCAGGTGGTTTGGGCTTTAAAAGTACTCTGGCTTGGTACTGAACAATTAAATTATGATATGCCATCATGATACTATTCAGGTTGCAGACACTGCACGGAGCATGCTTTAAAGGAAAAACATGGATTGGACTCACTAACTTGCAGAACTTTTTTTTTCTCTTTGTAGACTTGTTAAAGCCTGTAGTCTGAGTCTGAAGTGGTCTTTTGAGTAATGAGTTGAGATACCTGGCAGGGTTGTATTTTCTGGGGTTTTGTTTTTCCCCAGTCCCAAGAAGGAGAGAAGATCCTAGAACATCTAATCCATGCAGAGGGCAGACATTTAAGTTGCTGCCCACTTACCTAGCTAAAGTACAACTAAAAGAGCTGAAAGAGTGGAGTAGCAATGGCCAAAGTTCCTTTTATTGAAGTAAGTAGAAGCTGCGTTTGCTGAGCAAGCACCAGAACTAGAGAACTGAAAGCAGCAAGCTTGCCCCCAACATCAAAGATCAGTATCAGGTATCAGAGCAGGGAATCTCAGGCTTGCAGTAGCCTCAGGGGCAGAAGGTGCTCCTCCAAACTAGCCAAGAACCTCAGACAGCAGCACGTCTCAGAGGACCCCATCCATGCTGTGTGACTGTCATGTGCTTGATACAGGAGCTCACTGTTGTCCATGCTTCTCAACTCTCATTTCAGAGCCAGTGCACTCACTGGCAATAAATCTGTGCACTTCCAAATTTCAGAGGGAAAGCAAAACTGGCTGTCCAGCAGATTGCTTTACTGGTGATCCATGCTGTGCAGAAAGGCCAGTGCGAGGCCTGATAGAAACCTGTAAGTCTCCTTTGTGGAGTTGCGCTCTGGAAGTTTGTGCCTCAAGTTTTATTCTCTTGCTGGCTCAGGTGAGGTGGAGAAGCATGTGTGATTGTGACTGCGATTGCTGTGCTAACCACAGTGTGTGTTCTCTTGTTTTTGTTTTCTGCTTTTTCACAGCAGAAGGGGCCCCGCCTCACCTACTCGACCTACCATAATCCGACCGGCTGAACCGTCCCTCTTAGATTTATAACTCGAGGCTGTAGACAGCTGGCGACGAATGCCGTGCTGGCGGCTTCCCCATTCCACCCTCCCTTCCACAGCCACAGTCACTCCTCTCATCCATCCCACATCTCTGCCTCCCACCACCCCTTCCTGGTGTGTCGTAAAACACTAGCCTAGTGATCGAGCTCTTCGTCTTCACTCGTGCGTCCTGTATTGCTTTGTAAGCTTAGAGTAGCCTTCATTCAGTGGCATGGATCCCTGAAGTACACAGGCTCCTTGGAGAGATCAGCTGCAGGGACATCCTTAAGTCCAAGTGGTGGCTGTCCATCCAGGAACTTCATCTGCCTGGTCTAGCCTGGATAAGTGTCCTGCCTGCATCAGTTAGCTGTAGCACCTGGGGCTGATCTGTAGCTATTTTCTTTTCTTGTAGTTAAGAAGACAAAAGTGTGACTTAGAAGAAAAAGTACTGTCAAAACCTGTGACACCGTTAGGAACAGATTAAATGTCCTGTGTATTAGTTTGCCTTTTGAGGTGCAAAAATTCATGTTGGGAACTGTGCAATCAACCTGATATCAAAGTGGGGCAGGGAGAGCAAGAAAGGGGGGGAACTCAATGGGTCGGCATAGTCCTGCTAGAGTGAAGTCTGAGCTAGCGCGTGCACCTCAGCGTGCAGGGCACACATGGACCTGCTCACACCTGGCTCCCTAAAAGAACTGGGGAAATCCTGCTGGTGACGCACTGGCTCCTGCCAGCAGTTGTCTTGCATCATCATTTTTGGCTGACTTTCCTGAACCCAGCAGGGACAGGGGAATAGATACGCTGCTCCCCCCCTTGCAAACGGACAACCAAATGTTTTCAGGGAGTTCGCTGTGTAATGTTTTGTTGAAAATATTTCTGCTCTGAATAAGCACACCTTTCAGTGTTTTTTGGGTACTGTGGTGACTTCTTCCGTAGCCTTTTCTTCTTGCATGTGGATGGTACGTGTTTGGGGAAACTTGTAACCATTGTTGATTGCAACTCATCTTCTTAAGGTTTGGTTTTTTCATGCTACATGTATTAAAAAACAAAAAATCAAAAAACTTGAGAATTAAAAATATATCAACCCTGTACATCTTGGATGTCATGTCTCTACCAGAGCTAAATGAGCCACCTGCATTGCAGGCTTTCAGCCAGGCCTGCATCAGATTTAAGTTACCTTATTTCAGTGCTATTGCTCTTAATTTTTGTTGTGGATCCTCTATTGTTCTGATGTCAGTTCCTTTCTGTATTTTAACTATTGTTTTACTACTTCTCCCCTTTTTCCCTTTTCCTTTTTTCTTTGTTTTTCTTGTCTTTAACCTCCAGCCGGCCGGGTAAGGCCAGTCCCTCCCGCCCGGAGAGCCCAAAACCACCATTTGACATGTAGGCCTGCTCCCTCTGAGACTCTTTGCCTGCCTCTTAGCTGTTCTGTCCTGGAATGGTCTGAATGAATCTCACACATGGCTTGTTTTGTTTGTATTTTGTGACACACACATATCAGCTGTGATTGTAGTGAAACTGGTTTTTTTTTTT